CAATATTACTGAAGATGGTGGTAATGAAAATTATGAACATGTTAATAGTGATAACAGTTCTGATGATGATGTCAATAGCTCTAATAATAGTTCCGATATTGAGGAGGATCGAAAAGTATATTCCTACAATAATCGCAACGATGTAGATGTAATATAATAACATTTAGGCAATTTTATTTTTTATTTTTTATTTATTATTTTGTTAAAGATATAATTAAAAAAAAAAAAAAAAAAAAAAAAAAAATAGAATTATGAATTGTCTCGTTACGTTCTTATCAGTCTCTTCATTGTGTTTTACGAAAATATTAACTAATTAAATTTAATCTATTAAGATCATAATATAATCAATTAATATACATCAGGACAATTATGTCTAATTCTTACTACATCCAACACAACTAATGTTTGTGACTAATGCTCAAATTTTATAAACTTTTTAAAAACGTGGTAATGCTTCGTATTCATTTTTACATTTAAATGAAAGGATATTAAGTATATAATAAATTGTGAGGGTTTGCTGCTAAATATTGAAAAAAAAACAAATAGAGTTGTATTAAAAAAAAAAATTATTATTTTTTTTCTTCTTATGTCCGGTGTTTCATTAACCTCTATTGGGGTAGATCTTAATGATTTTTTATATCATGTTACAATTTCATAATTCAGCCACAGCAAAGTTTGGTTGATCTTATATGGGGCAGACTGCAACAAAACCAGACAAAGTGAAATGAGAGGCTGATTATGATGTGGCTGTAAAATTGACCAGTGTGACTGAAAAGTAATAATGTGCTCATCATAACTTATGAGCTTGTTAATTTTAATGCTCACTTTATCATACCAGAATGTGGTGAATATAAATCATAATGTGATGAATATAGGACTATCCCTATATAAAAATATTAATATGAAACTAATTTACATTAAATCTACCATGGAACCAAAGAATTACAGCACCATTAGAAGCATTCTAAATAAAGCTCAAGGAGAAAAGATTGCTCCCTATGTTTTTAAAATCAATGATACTCAACCCCTCCAGGAATATCTAGATCAAGAAAAAATCACTTATGAAATTTACCAAGAAGAACGAAAAATAATAAACCATAAACGAACATTGACACCAACACATGACGAACCAAGAAAGAAACGAAAGCTGGAAACATAAAGCAAATATCTGTTTCTTTATAATTGCATGGTTTTTTATAGGTTGTTCGGTAAAAATGATAATAAATTTGCTCCAAGTACTAAAATCTGACACAATTTATGAGTAGTAACCTTTTATCGTGTTAGAAACAATGATAAGTATGGAAAGTAATAAAAGCGGATCACGAAAATAAGTCATTAGAAGGGCAGCCAGGACCAAACTTTAGGAGACGATAACTTGTTTGATCAGCAAATCAAAATAAGCAATCGTAATTATGTTTAAGCGAATAGTTTTGTGTTACGTAGAATAATCGGCTACAAATGTTGTTTTTTTATAACAATTCAGTTTTTTTAATTTTTTTTTTATTCGCAATTCAGTCTTATTTGTTGCAAACGTTACAGAATTACGTGTATTCGACAAATCTGTTTATTTATCGATTATAAATATTAATATTTTAGCAAATATTTATTGTAATTATTTATTATTATATAGATAAAGAAAAATAGCGCTATAAATGTCGGATGAAATTGTTTTATATATTCGCCAACGATTCGGAAAATAACCGATATAATAATTAATATGTACACGATATTTGTTAACGATGATCCAGTGTCTTGAATATGCACGTCATTTGGTATGGGTAATGATTTAATGTTTATACTTAGACTTATACTTAATATTATAACTTAAGTTATAGGAAGAATGGCCGCTTTTGGCAGCAGGAGACTAACCAAAATTATACCCAAATTTGCCGATTACGTCACGATTTTGATAAATCAAATCGACGCAAAATAATGAATTCGCAATTTTTCAAAAATGTTTCTTTCCATTATTGTCGTTGGTCATTTGCTCCATTATAAAACATACATTCAACTCTGCAATATAAATAAAAAGCTTGAAATAGCAATTCAAGCAGTCGAATTAAACAAAATCAAAATCAAATCTAAATCCAGCAAGCTGCCCAGCGAACGAAAATACGCAGAAGACGTTGAAAATCTATGGAAAGATTTTAAAAAATTCTTTGATACGAAATCTGAGCTGGAACCGGACTTTTCATTTACCAAAGTGGCTACTCAAATCCGCGAGTTACGCGGGGGGAAAGGCATTGCCAACTCTACACTGAATAACTTTTACAAACGAAAAACTAATGGTTGATTCGGCGCTTCAATACGGAGAAGTATCACATGTTTGTGTAAGTAAAACGTATAAACAGGGCTGAGTTGGACGCGACTCTGCTTCTTTTATCACTATCTTTCACTAAATATACGAAAAACATCTAACCATGGACTACTCACTGGGACTCATTCGTTTTTCTGTGAAATATGGTCAAGACTTTCCAACAGTAACTGACAAGGAGATCGAAGAAGCATACAACGAATATAAAGAATTCTACGCCAAACACCATCGCGACCACCCCGGAACAGCCACGGATTGTTATGAAGAATTTCGAGGTAAGCAACACGTTTATTGAGAGAATAGAGGAGCAACGGGGAGAAAAGTTTGAATACCGTTACTGGGTTTGTGCTATTTACAAGAGAGGCAGTTGGAGTGTTATTAGTTGGGGCAGAGCTGAAACATAGCAGAGCTAGGTTATATGGAGAGATAGTTGGAATGCATTACTACATGCGTTGGGGTTGGGACATAGAGCAGAGTCGTAGCAAAGGTTAGGTTATACGTAAACTCGTTTGAAAGGCAAATAAGCAAGATATGATGCGTTTGGGTTAAGTAGAGTAGGAGCAATGGAGAGAGAATCGTTCTAATGCTGTTAAATAGGCGCAGCAACGTGGTAGGGACGAATGTTTTGAATGCTATTGTAACATGCGTTGGGAGGAGAGTAGAGTAAGCATAGAGAATGTTATCCTATCATACGAGTCAGGATGCTCATTTATAACGACGATTAAAATTGACCAAACAATTGTTGTATTTTTTAAAAATTCATCCGTACATAACATTTCAAACCATTACTAATGCTTTCCTCGTTCTCGTTTCGTCTCTTACCACTCTCTTGTTCTTTTATTTCGTAAGATAAAGAATGCCCTGCAACTGTGATTCCCCAGCCAGAACTAGCTGTCGCAGAGGCTTTTAGGGTACCATATCAGGATCCATTGAACATGGTCGAACGATTTCAGAACTACATCGATAAGAAGCACGCACATTGGCTTGGCAATAAGATAAATCGCGTACCTTACGGAACGGTTTTTCAGAGTTCTGGCTACGGAAAAACTCGCCTCATTGAACAGCTTGCAACGAAAATTCCTACGTTATACGTGTGCTTACGCCCAAAGGAAAGTACAGGATACCCGCCTGTTACGCCTATCGCACCAGAGATATTCGTTCGTCTGAACGACGTCCCAGATGGACAAGAATAGCGCTTTATGTTCATTATTTGGCATGCTATCAAAAAGTTGCATGAATATTCCCTTACCAAATCAGCTACGGACCTCTGGGAACAACAACTGAGTAACAAATGGTGCCTTAAGTTCTGGTCAGAGGTCTCAACAGCCAGTGAAAAGTGGCTTACAATTGAAGAAAATGATGCGAACCTCTCCAAGGGGAAATTCCCGTTCTATGATGCAGACAATCCCAATAACCGAGTCAAGATTATCTTATGTATTGATGAAGCTCGATATCTTACTCGTCATGTGCCAGACAGAAACGGAACTCCATTCCGAATACTTAGAAGAGCTATGAAACATATCGCATGGAATGGCTTCTTTGCCATCTTTTTGGATACGCTCAGTAAAATCTCGAACTTTGCACCACCCTTGTCAGAGGACCCGTCTTCGAGAGATGACGAGGCACAATTACTATTTTTTCATCCTTTTGTTAGACTTACAACAATGGATATCTTTGAAAAAATGACGGGAGGTCCAGCAGAGAAGACCAGATTGTTCAGTTGGCAAAGCTAGGAAGACCATTAATATACAGCTATCTAAAAGTCAAAGGGAAAAGTTCTTCGACTCAAACAGCTCTCAAAGGACTTGTCACACTATTGCAGAATAAACTCTTTGGCGGAGCAAGATCTTTCGATGATAGCCACAAAAAGGAACTATCCAGTATCGCCATTTTATCAGTACTTGTTTGCCTGGACATTTCACCACAATCGAAGATTGCTTCTGAACTCGTGGGATCCTATATGGCAACATGTGTTGCAGTATCAAAGGACAGGGAGCGCTTGTTAGTTCGTTATCCCTCGGAACCTTTGCTAGCAGAAGCAGCGCTCACTACTATTTCTGATGAGAAAACATTGATTAGCATTCTGCAAAATTTTAACGAGATGCTGAGAAAAGGTTTCGTGGATGCAGGCGCTCGTGGAGAAGTGGTAGCACGAATCATCCTGATTCTCGCGGTAAGGTCTATACAGGAAAACGAAGATTGGAAATCATCCGGCATCACGGTCAAACAATTAATGGAACTACTGGATCCGGCAGCTATCGATGAGCTACAATCCTTTGTGGATGCAACTGTGACTTTTACACACTTTATTCCCATAGTATATGTTCCTGAAAAACGTTCCTTAAAGGAATATTATCGACGACGATGTGCTGTGATTCTCAAGCGAAATAACCCCGGTGCGGACATTATGATCCCTGTAAAATTATCAGAAGACAGATATTCCTATATCCTCATTCAAATGAAGAATTATGCATCAAACAATCGGAGTGCAGACCAGAGCTATCCGGAATCTGGTACATACAAACTAAAGTCGCGTTTTGTCTTTCGAAAATCAGATCTCAAACATCATGAAGAGAAATACATCACTTTGTATTGGCAACTCGGCTTTCAAGGACAACTCAGAGAGGTTCCACCAATTCGCAAGTCTAAGCGTCAAAAAATTGAAGAACAACAACACCCTTTTGCACATTTTGGATTAGACTTCTTCACATTTCTTGGTCCCATTGTCAAAAAAGAGTTAGCTGATCTTTTGGATGCTTTTATCTCACCCTTTGATGAAGTGTGGAAATTTCACGATGAGGAAACAGGCGATTATTGGTCTGAGAAACAGATTATGGCTCACGATCCCCTCGTTTACGATTCTCGTATTTCATCACCAATGTGATGGCGGGCGATGTGCTCATTTTTGATTTTTTACAGTAGCGAGGGTTGCATTGAGCCCGTGTATCTGCTGAAGTGGTATAATATGAGTGACATAGTGCACGATCTTAGTTTAAGAATAACGCTTTATTTTATTCAACGTTCGGATCACTAAATTTAGAAAGGAGAATGTGAATGTTAATCTGGGCTGTGCTAGCTTCGCCAAGATACCAAAAAACATGTAATAATGAAACACTACATAACTTATATTCCATTAAATCAGTTACTATTCAGGATTTATGCTGTTCTAAATATACTGTATAGGTTTTTCAAAAAACGATTTCTCAAGAATGGCGAAATAAATTTTGCAATATTTTTTTTTATTCATTCTTCGAAACGTTGTGGAACAATTGAGAAACTCAGTTGATTGATTGTTGAAATCCAAATCTGGCGACAATGAATTCATCGTTAAAATTTATATATAGGAATACCCGTATATGGAAAATTATAATTATAATGTTCAACTGAATATGAAAAAGCAGTGTATTTTTTGAAGACAGGTTGCGATTGTGGTTGCTCAGAAATGATTCTGAGAGAAGGATTTGCTGAATTACGTGAAGCATTTCAAGCTCTCTCTAGATCAGAGCAAGATATATTTTTAATGGCCCAGTTGAAAGCAATGAATGGTGAAGAAATAACTGCTAGTCGACGTCTTAAAAAGAAAACGCGTACTAATAAGCGAACATTTTACTACTGAGATCGTAATATACCGCTTTGTCAGAAAATGTATCTCAATATGTCAGAAATTGGCCGCACTCACTTTGAAAACGTCAGAAATCACCTAGCGACATATGGTATAATACTGCGTGTTCATGGTAATATCAAACGAGTGTCATGATGGAAAACCAAAATAACCATTGATATAACTGTTGCTATCGCTGTGAAGAATTTTCTTGAAAACTATGTGGAAATTCATGGATTACCAAATCCAGGTAGAAATGTCAATCGCATTACTCAATCGCTTACACTTTTACCAACTGAAACGAGTTACAAGTTGGTCTATCATAATTTCATTGCAGGTCTTGAAAACGATAGCATGTTGAAATTGTTAAAATATGATGCATTTCGCAAGTTATGACATCAATTAACGTCTTATATTCAAATAATGAGTCCAAGAATGGATTTATGTGATACATGCCAGCATTTTTAGAATGGCTTACAATACAATGCTTGCAAGAAAGAAGCAGCAAAAGATGTATTGAAAAAATTCAAAGAATATCTAGTTAAAGCTAAGTTAGAGAGAAATTATTACAACAAAAATACGAAATCAGAAGAATAAAGAAAATTAGTAGATGAGCAATTTATAATAAGAGGTAAAGCTAATTATTGTAATGTTAACGCTACTGCTCATTACAATTACGATTGAGTGCAAAACATTCATGTATCCCATTCCAATCAACAGGTAAGTAAGATTTATTATCTTAGTCTGCGTAAAGTACATTTATTCAGTATTCAAGATGAAGTAATACGAGAACAAATTAATTACGTTTTTGATAAAGATAAAATTATCAGCAAAGGCCCTAATGGCACGCTAAGTATGGTATTTAATGGAATTAAGAGATTGAATAAAGGTGAAAAACATTGAAAAATTACTTGTGATAATGCGGGAGGACAGAATAAAAATAACGCTACCATTTGATTTTACCTATTTTAGTAATTTGCAGTTATTATGAAAGTATCGAATTAAATTTCATGATACCTAGACATATTAAATTTAAATGTGATGACAGTTTTGAATTAATTAAAAACTATATCACAAAATGACAGTAGATTGCACAGATCATATTGTTGAGGTTGTGATTAAACAAAACTCAGTGTTATGATAACAGAAAGGGTTTTCAATACTTAGATCTTAATTCTGTGTTGGGAATTTTCTTTAAAAAATTGAGTGGTTTACAAAAATATCAGCATTTTCTATTTGAAGCAGCTAATTCTGGAATTGTTAAAGCTCAAATGGTTACTAATGGTACTTTAATTTGTTAAAAACTAGAAAAGCAAGTATTTCTAAAATTATCAAAGAAATCAAATCCTTTTCAATCCTAATACTGACCCTTTTCCTTTGGATTACAAGAGGCAAGAATACTTTTATCATCATATTCACCCATTTATTAGAAATGAATTTAAAGATATTACTTGTCTCAAGCCAATACCAATGTAATTAAATAATTTTTAATTAAATAAAAAAATTCACAAAATTAATTCTTATTTCTCTTAATTCTAACTAATTTAATAACCAGAATAACTAAAAAAAATAACAGTACTTCACAGCCAGCCATTCAATAAACCTTTTTTCTCTTATTTTTGTCAAGTTGGCTTTCTAATTGAGCTTGAGAAACTTTATTCCATTTTTGATAATAAGCCTCTGGATCTCTTATTTTTTTAGCCATTCTTTCATCTTCTATAGTACCTTGAAATTGATTGTTTTTATAGGTCTGTAGTGTCTTCAAAACTTTTTCATAGAATACCTAGAAAGAAGTAATATTAAAAATTCAGAAGTTTTACTATAACTTGAAGGAAATTCTCCTTCTTTTCTCAAAATTTTTGTGGCTTCTTCTTTAAGTTCACATTTGATAGTAAACCCACTAGTTAATGATGCAGATTCCATTTTTTGTATAAGTTTTTGACAGGCTTCTCTAATTTGGTCTCAAGTTTCTTGATCTATAGTATTGATATCATTAGGCAAATGATCTTTAGTGAAGATAGTTATATTTCCTAATTCAATGTATAATCTGATAATAATTTTGCTTTTTTCTACAATGAATTGTTGTTATTGGTTACTTGGAAGAGTTTATTTATTGCTTTAATTGCTTCTGGAGGAGCCGCTTTAGGTCCTGAATTTTCTGAAGTTCATACACTTTCTTGCTCTTCTTTGTATTTAGGAATTACCCGCATATAAAAATAAGGTGAATTTTAGATGTCCAATTGTGTAATCAGCGTATTAATTCTATAACCTATTAGTTTATATACCTTGTCAATTTTGTTGATAGTTTCTCTAAGCACAGGCAAAATTTCTGCTTATTCTTCTCTAATTATATCTTTGAAGTTGTCAGCATGACGTTTAGTATATAATGATGAATAACCTTTAGAATTTTATTTTAAAACTACACTAGAACTCACCTTATTCCCTACACAAATTTGATTTTTAAGCAACCCTCTTTTAAGTGTTTCTATTTTATCACAAAGATTACAAACTAGTTTACTTCTTTTAGCACTTTTAGGGCAAATATAACTAGAAGTATTATCATCTTTTTAAGTAAAGTGTTCATCTTATTTATCTCTTGCAATTTATTTATGACAATTACAGCATTGAGAACATTTGTATCCTTTACTATCTTCATAAGCAGTGACATCCCAATTTAGAATTATTTTGCATTATGAATATCAAGTAGTTACTCTATCTCATCTACCACTACCATATTATCTTATACTTCTATACTGAAAAGGTCAATTAAAATTTTCTTTATTTTTACATTTTTATAAGGCTTGGTTAAAGAGCTTTATTTTGTTTCTTTCTCAATCTTTATTAGTATTGTTATTTAACTCTTGTTGCATGAGAGTTTTAGCACATTCTCAACAACAAAATTCAGTATATTTTTATCTTTTCCATCTTATAAATTAACAGTTAAACCTTCTTTAGTATTTTTATAATTAAAACATTCTTTTTTGGTTATGATAATTTTATTTAAACTATGATTTATAAAAAAGTTTTACAAAAAAAAAAATTTTAAATCACAGTAAGAGTAGTACATTAATATTGTATTTAAAAAATCTCATTAATAAAATTGAATAGATGATAAGTTTGCTTGGTTTAAAAATTTTCATTCAGATATTTTTGTTTTTTGTTTTGTAATAATACATTATTATTCTGTTTTCTTTTCTTAATATTTATTATTTTTTGTTCTTCTTGATAAATTTCATAAGTAATTTTTTCTTAATCTAGATATTCCTGAAAGGGTTGAATATCATTGATTTTAAAAACATAGGCAGCAATCTTTTCTCCTTGAGCTTTTTTTAGAATACTTCTAATAGTGCTATAATTCTTTAGTTCCATGGTAGATTTAATGTAAATTAGTTTTATATTAATATTTTTATATAGGGATAGTTCATATTATAATTATATTCATTACATTCTGGTATAATAAAGTAAACATTAAAATTAATAAGTTCATAAGTTATGAATGAGCATATTATTACTTTTCAAAACATCATCAATCACACTGATTAATTGTACAGTCACATCATAATCAGCTTCTCATTTCAGAATGTTCACTTTGTCTGGTTTTGTTATAGTATACCCTATATATATAATTAATTTAATAAAATTTGTGTAATAAGATATGTATATTAAATATATTGATATTAAATATTTTAATGTATTAATAAAATTAAAAGGTTTTATAAAAAAAGTTATAATTTTATATAAAAATAATATTTATTTATATTAATATATTTTATAAAATATTATAAAAAAAGAGTAATTAATTAATTATAATTAGCATATAAAAAATTAAATTAATTAGATTTAAAAATAAATAAATAAATAAAAATATCTAATAAAAACTAATAATAAGCTATAAAAAAATTTTAATTTTAGTGGTATAAAGTGATAATCATAATCTAATTTAAGTAATATAATTTGAATAATATATATAAAATTTGATTATCTTATTATAATTTAATAATTTAGATAATATAGATATAACTTGAATATTATGTTATAATGTAATAATCATTTTATAATTTAAATTACTACTTTATAATCTAATATTTATAATTTAATTATATTATAAAATTTATCTAATAATATAGATAAAATCTTTTTATATTCTTATTATTTATTGATTTTTAGTATTTTAACTATATTTTTAAATCTTTTCATTATATATTATAGTATATTACTACTAGAGCTCCGAATCAGGTTAGGTTGACCTGTTTACTTGACCCAATCTAATCTGAAAATTCAGGTCAGGTCAATAGATTTTCAGGTTGATGTCAGGTCAGGTCAACAGGTCGAACTGATCTGACCTGACCTGATAAAAATTCAGGTCAACCAATCATTCTTCTTGAATAATTTATTATCATTAAATTAGAAATAATAAAGTTGATTAAATAAATTAATAAT